TCACATCTCCAAGTTGGCAAATGAGCTTAAGTGGAATTGCTACATCATTTAAAATTTAATAAAATTGTCAAGTTTGATAAATTGAATTCTCATGTAAAATATAGTGCATTTTAGCCTTGATTTCAATGGTGTTTGAGTGAGTTAAATGTAATTTATTTGATTTCACATGACTTTTTTTTTTTATGATTTGTTGCCGCATAAAAGAACTCGATTGTAAGAAATGAAAATTTTGGGGATTGAATTACAAAATTTTTTAAGGTTGAGAGACAAAAAATTGAGAGAAGAAAAACTAAAATTTGGAACCAAATTAAAAAAAAATGATTAAAACACCTTTTGATTTGACACACCCTACAATTTTTATCAATTTAGCAATTAGAATTTATAGCTTGTAGTTTTCTTGCCTTTAATTCTGATTTAAAAACAATGATTTTTTAATGAATATATTTTGGGATGTATTAAATTAGAAAATATACCAATAATTGTTTTTAAAAAAGTGAGGACCAAAGATCAATTTGAGGGACCATAATTGCAAAAAATAAATTTTACACTGTCAAAGTTAACAGAATTTTTAACAAAGGTACCAATTTGGTACTATAGACTATAGTTAAGAGTTCAAAAACTAAAAAGTACTTTAAAAAAATTTAAAAATAATTTTAGTACAAATTGAAAAAATTCAAGGGCCATACTTATAACACATATAAAAACAAAACTCCAATAGCATGGACCAATTAAAAAAGGCATGAATTGGATTTCAATAAAAAAAAAATCTTGGATCGTTAGGATATGATGTGATCATGGAAATCAAAAAGGACCCATTTCATGAAATGAATGCGAATCTTGTGCAGGAATATTTAAAGGATTGAAACCCTCGCTAGGAATCTTCTGGGTAACAAAACATTAAAGCATGCGCTACCAATCACTAAATTCTAAAAGAACAAAGTATTAAACCAATAATGATTAGATTAATCATTATTTGACAAATTACGGCAATTAGTTAGGTGGCTGCAAAATCAAAATTGGCTTCTTTCTTATTTTGAGGAACTACCAAATTAGCCATATACTTCAATAATCTTACCTAAAACTATTTAAAAATAATTAAAATAGTTCATATCATATTTAGTTTAGAAGTTTCTTCTTATTTTATTTATTTTCACTTAATAAACCATTTCACTTGCTGTCAATTTTACTTACACTCTTCTACGTATAGAGACCTAACATAAACATCTAAGTTTGGTTACGTGAGGTAACAGTAAACATAAAAAGAATGGTTGTATTGTGTATCGGATCACTTTTTGTAAAACTTAATTTGCTTCAATGAAATTCCCATTTCCACCAAAAAAAAAAAACATAAAAAGAATGAGTTTAGGCTCTGATCTTATTCACATAAGAACAAAAGCTCGGAATAAATCACTATACCATTTTTCTAGTCTGGGGATGTTTTCGAAATCGAAATTCTTAACATGTGAGTTCATATATGGATTAAGGTACGTACATGCTCTAGGTAATACATTCATTGTGGTTCCATATATAGGCCTACACGTGAAAGTAATAAACACTGCTCGTCTACAAATGAAAAGCAAACAGAGAGGCAAAATAATAATATATAAAACAAAAATTACTTACCGTATCCGTAGCATTAAACTTGTTGCTTAAAAATAGTAACCCAGCCCCAGCGTAGGTCGTCACCTAGTGCCTAGTCGTGGCGCTTTGCTTCACCCACCGTACCGGGGTTCAAGGCTTCAAAGCACTTTGAGGACCAATCTCCATCCCTAAATATCCCAAAGAGTCCAGTTTTTTAACGTCACGAAACTGCCCGTGAAAAAAACATATAGTTTAAGTATTAAAATATTATATTAAAAAAATAATATAATTGAATTGCCTGCTTCGGTCCAGTGGCATTGAACTTAGATTAGGGCTGTTCACCTCCAGTGAGCTGCATGTTCGACCCCTACGGATTCTTTTTTCTCTCTCCTCCAATTAATGCAGTAAATAATTACAAATTGTTTAAAAAAAATATATAATTTAATTTAAATTATATTAAATTACATTATATCGATTATTGAATGGAGTTTAAACTTACAATATAAGGGTTTTTTTTCTTCTAATAATTTATATTTTATAATTTAATGTAGTTCAAACGATAAAATAAAATTCTCATATTATATATTAATAAATAAATATGGAGAAAGTTTCATTCAAAAATGTTTTAGTAATTTTAGTACTTAAGTCATTTTTTTGTGTTGTTCATATTAAAAAAATATACATTTCTAGAGCTCAAAATTCAATATATATAAAGTAAGGATTTATTTATATATAAATTTTATATAAGTATAATATATAAAATTTTAATTATTTATCTTTCTATTTTTAATAATTAAGATTTATATAAAAAACTTGTATAAAATAACATATTAAAAGCACACATAAAGGAAAAATTAATTATATATCCGTCTTATTTTCTTGATTTAGAATTATATATAGTTGTTTTTAAAAACCTTAATTTTTGTTTTCGGTATGTTTGATGGTAGGTGATATATGAAGAATGATAACTCTCCCTATATTGAACCCTTCCTCACCCAAGTTTAGTATCTTTAATCTATATGAATAAAATAATTCATTTAAAGATTATTTTTTAGAATGTTAATTATAATAAAAATTAATTATAAACTGAGGTAAAACTTTTATTCTTACACCAGTATAAGTTCTTCCTTCCCAAATAATAATACCAAAAGCATACCCATATTTCCTTTTGTTCTGGCCGTCATAGCCATAATACCTTTAAAAATTACATTCCTATAAAGAAGGTCACTTTAATATTAGCAAAAGATGCTTTTTCATCCTGTTGTGGTTATTGACGCATATATTTTTGTTAAAATTACATAAATTTATTAATATTTTATTAATTTATAATTTTTTAATAATTAATAATTAATAATTATTATTTAATAAATTAAAATTAATTTATAAATAAATATTTTAATAATTAATATTTATTATTTAATAAATTAAAATTAATTCATAAACAAATATTTTAAACATCATAATTAATTATTTTTTAAAAAATTATAAATTAATAAAATATTAATTAAATTATACAATTTAACCTTAACAGGAATATAAGTGACAATAATCAGGCCTTTTCACCCTTATAATAAGGTTCAAATCCTTACCCATCCCATCTCCCCTCCCCCACAGGTGGTTCCACCAATTGACCAAATCATAAAAAACAAATGAATTAATAAATTCTTATACTTCTATAAAATAATATTATTTTTTGCAAATCTGTTCTTAAATAGAGATATTGTTTTCCAAATTTGAGCAACAAAACTCACATCAAACCGTAGAAACCAGCGGTGGGGGAATAGTGTTTTACCGTTTATATTGTGTAACTTGTTTTTTTTTTATAATAATTGATTAAGAAAGAAATAACCTTAGTGCATGTACTCCAATCTTCGGAAAAGCATATGCTATTAATTTGTCATGATCACCTCATTATATTGCCCTTTGAAACAAACACTCAAAAAGCACAAACACGGAACACCCTAACGTACAAAAGATAAGGCGAGTCCTGGTCTCACTAACGGAGAACCACCACTTTCAATCGAACGTTGCTCAGTGGCTCCCACCCTTTTCCTTTGCCCCACTTCCTTCCCCTTTTGTCCCCCCTCTCATTTTCATTTTATTTGGAATTATTATAGTTAAACAATATGTCCTTTTTATAAATATAAAATAGTTAACAATATCTTGATTTGGTACAAAGCGTTAATATAATGTTTTTATTTGTAAGTTATAATCATGCAAATTATATAATCCTAAAATAATTTTTTATGATTCTTGGTATGATCATAGTTGCCTCTGACCATTATTCATATTATATATTTTTTAACTAACCATGAGATGTATTTAAAATATGTAAATGATTCATTAATAAGTTTGTGCCATCTTATATTATAGATTTAAAATTTAAATTTTAGAGTCTAACACTTTAAAAATTAATTAATTTGAAAGTACTAAGTTGATATGGAGCCTACCCTTAAAATTGGTTAAGAAAAGATTATTCTTGAGATATACAAATATTGATTTGAAAGCACTATAACTGTACATACCAAAAACAAAAATGCAAATATGCAAATGAAGGGTAATTGTATGCTCTATAGACTATAATCCACAAATAAAAAAAAGGGGGTGTGTGTTCTTATTAGTTTTTTTAACTCATTAATGTAAAGGGTTTAATAAAAAAACAAATATTAATGTTTTACCATCTGAGTAAGAAAGAGGCAGAAAAATCATTAACAAATCTTCATTTATCTACTGTTCATATTGATAATTGTTTTTTTTACCAGCTAAACCATATATAAAGAATAGAATGTTATCAAATTATATAATACCAATCATTAGATAAAGGAGTTCACACTTAATAACTTATTATTAAGAGTTTTTTTTATTATTTAAATATTATTATTTTATAATTTTGTGCAATTTAAATTACATTGTACTACACAATTTAAATCATTAAATAAAAATAAATTTCCTAATATTTGAGATTACTTTTTATCCAATAATTTTTTTTCAATTCAATATAATTCATGCTACACATCATGTTACTCTAATAATATAGACCCTGCCCTGCAATTTGTACACATTGATATTTTGTTAAAAAGATTTTTTAAATTTGTATTCTTAAAAACACAAGTTAATAGTATTTTTTTAATAAATTTATATAAAAAAATATAAAAATAAATATTTATTTTAGATATAATACAATGTAAATAAATTTAATTAAATAATTAATAAATTATATGTTATTTTTATTTTTTAAAGATTTTAAAACCATAACATCAGAGTATAAGTTAAAAAAAGGATTTTTTTTTCCTCCTAAATTTTCCTTGCTAGATTTTGTTTTTTCTTCCCACCTCATTGTTAGCAAGTTTCTGTCAAATTGCGAAATTATGGTAGGTTAGGAGTCGCTTTGAAGGAGCGTTCGCAATCTATCCCCTACAAAAACCCCCTCCCCTTCCTCTCTCTCCTCTCATCATTCTTCCTCAGTGCTCTGTTTTACATTATTATTGAAACAATGACACACAAGAACACTTCCTCAGAGGCAGAGAGTACCAGCAACTCCTCTTCTGCTTCTGCTTCTGCTTCTTCTCCTTCTTCGTCATCATCTGTGTCGTCGGAAAGCAAGAAGAATCCCGCGGGGAAAACGTCTATAAAGTCCAAGGCGCACAGCGTAGGAGAGGAAAACAGGGGAAAGCGAGGAAGAGAGTCCAGCAAGCACCCTGTTTACAGAGGGGTGAGAATGAGGAGCTGGGGGAAATGGGTATCGGAAATTCGCGAGCCGAGGAAGAAATCCCGCATTTGGCTCGGCACTTTCCCCACCCCTGACATGGCAGCGCGTGCGCACGACGTGGCCGCGCTGAGTATCAAGGGTGACTCTGCCATCATCAACTTCCCTGACCTCGCCGAGTTGCTTCCCCGACCAGCGTCGCTAATGCCGAGGGATATCCAGACCGCGGCAGCTAAGGCAGCCTCCATGACCAATTTCAATACACTACCAACCTCCTCCTCCTCCTCCTCGTCACTAGCATCGGAATCCTCTTCTTCGCCGTCGGAGGAGCCAGAGGAACTGAGCGAAATCGTGGAGTTGCCGAATATAGAAGGGAGTTTCGAGTCGTTCGAGTCGCTAGACAATTTCATGCTGATTGACTCTGCTGATGGCTGGATGTATCAGCCGGAAATTCTCTACGGGGAATTTCCCGATCAGCTACTCGCCAGTGCAGAGAGTTTAATCCCGACCAACTTCGATACAAAGTTGTGGGATTAATTTGGTGTGGTTTTTACTATCTTTCTGTTACCAATCAGGTCCGTGTAATTCTGAAATTTACAGTTTGCTTCCCTAATTTTTGCTGACTCTTAACTGTTTAACTTCAAACTTTTATGTTGTTGTAAGATACTCCAAACTTTTATGTTGTTGTAATATACTCCACACTATTTGGTTGCTATTTTATTTTTTTCTATTTTAAGGAATAAGAAATAATATATTTGTGCCTCTACTTTTTTTTTTGTGGAATATATAATGCATCTGGAATTTGAGTTTGAGTTTCATTTCGCTATTAAGTTTAATGATAGAGTTATTTGACCAATAAAAATTTAATTGAATTGATATTTATTAACTAAAAGGACCTTAATTTAGTGTCAATATCAGCCATTCAAATATTTATAATGCCAAACAATTAACCTTTCAATGTATCAAAAAAATAATAAAGTTATTTGTACTATTAAGCATAAGTTTAGGATTTAGTCCATAATCTCTATGTACAAAAAGAAAACTTTGATTTTTCTTCAATTTTAATTTAGATTTTTTTTCCTGAAATTGCTCACTTTATTTTATTATGATAAGTAAATGAATTACATATTTTATTCATTCACTTTTCTATTTGGCATGCATGGATCAATTTTTTAAAATTTTTTTTTGAAGTATATGAGAGAATTAGCTTGCTAAAAATACAAGTATTTGAACCTCTCACTCCAATTCCAAAATCAAAATTTTAAGATTGATAAACTTTTTCAATATGCCTAGCCTTTTTCTTTTCTTTTTTTTCAAAATAGCAAAACACATAATTTTTTATTTAAAAAGTTGTAAACATAGCTGATAAAGATTTACTCTTTACCCTATTGAATAACATTTGATTTCTTAAAAAAACCAATAAAAAGGTAATTTTTTTTATGAATTTCATAATTCCAACATAGTTGACATATTTTAGATTGAATCTAAAGGAATTAGTTTTAAAATACATATAAATTGATTCAGAAACACTTCACTGCTAAATCAAAAAATTAAAAATTTTTTTTTTTTATTGTGGGAATACAAAAGATCATCCATCTCATTTACAACAGCAATTAACAAACCATTAAAGTACAAACTCAACTCTACACCAGTGAGTTCCCTACAAGCAAAACCAAAGAATCCTGCGGCGAATATTATATGCAACTCATCACAGAATTATCTCAAAGCAAGTCCAGCTCTTACAAGTTACATCTACAAAAAATAGATCTTACTACTTTCCCCAATTCAACCACCACGATTAAACTTTAAACTTGCCCCGGGATTATTAACCAGTCAGAAGGATTAATGAAGCACCTGGTTTTCCTTCCTTTAAGCTTTTTCAAAATGCCTGGCCTAATTTTTTATTTTATTTTTACTTTTACTGGTCTAACAATCTAAGTGTTTTCGAGTTAACTTGTATATATCTTAGGATTAATTCCTTTTAAAAATTTACTTAAAGACAAACAATTCACGTTAAGACAAGAGAAATCATGATGAATTATCTTTTTATTGGACTTCTTAAAATCAAACCTTAATCAATAATGTGAGAAACAAATCTTTTTACTAACTAAGCTACAAACTCCATGAGTTTATGTTTGGCCTAATTACATATCATATAGTATATTATTTTCATAAATGCACTCTAATTTCAACCAAAACAATTTTCCCCATCAAATTTATCATTTATATTAGGGTAATATTTGAATTAACTGTTTAAATTTATAATTGATAATCGATACGTAACAATTAATAATTGTTATTTTTTATAATTTAAAATATTTAATTTATTTAATTAGATTTAATGGTTAATAATTTTTCCTAAAATACTAAAACAAGCACCCTAAGTCAGAGTGTGAATGTTCAGATTCAAATATAGTGACAAGAAGGAAACATTTTGAGAAAGGAGGAGCTATATACTTTTAATATGAAAAATTAAAACCAAAAAATTAATATTGCATATTGAATTCAGTATTAGATGGACACATATAATGGGAAAGTGATAACATTTTTATTAGTCAGTATCAACTGTGATGTTGATGGCAAAATATTATAAAAGAGAGGGACCGCAAAGTGTACCGTTGATGAGTTTTTGGAGTTTATTGGGATAGATGACCCTGCGCAATTGTACCGTTGTATTTTTTTTAATTTTTGAAGACATGTATCGTGTCCAACGTATAGGATGAAAAGTCGTACGTTTCTTTCCTGAAAAATCAAGAAATACTTTGACAAAAAGCAAAAAAGGGGCTTTTTACAATTCTTTTAAATCGACAGTTTTTGGGGGTGATTAGGATTTGCATTTACAAAAAAGTCAAAACATGAAAAGAATGTTGGCTTTATAAAAATGGTATATTATTAATATTATATAATATTATAAATATATTGACATGTTAAATTATTATATAATTAAA